AAAAAAAAAAAAAAAAAAAAAAAAAAAAAGCTGGAGATACAACTCTGTCCAAAGGCCCTGGCTTCACTCCCCAGTACTGGGAAAAGAGATTAGGAAAGAAAAAAAGTCTGGCATGTCCTCAAAGTGAAATAGTGACATGACCCAGAAACCCCACTCCTACCTGGTGTGTGCCCCAGAGAGATGAAAACTTTTGTCCGCACAGAAGTTGGTTCGTGAAACATTCCCAGGATCACCAATTCCCAATAGCCAGAAGGTGGAGAGAGCCCGTGTCCAGTGAGGGTTAAATAGATACACACAATGCATTCAATATGAACAGTGGAATGTTTGTTATGCGGCCTTAAAGGGATGAAAAAGCAATGAAGTACAATACAAATGAAGATGCTATATACTTGGTAAAAGCCCATTGCAAGAGGCCACATATTATGATTGGATTTATAGAAAGTGTACTAGGCACTTGTTTTCTGTTTTAGGCACTTCCTGGTTGTTGAGCCAAAATACTCAACCTCTGCAATGTAAAGGAGAGCTTTACATAGGCTCTCAGTTTTCTGAGGTTCAGTCCATGGTTAGCTGGCTCCAGGCAGAGACCTAGAAGGGGTGAGTGGAGGACAGCTAGAGCTGTTCACCCTTAGTGGCCAGGAAACAAAGTGTGGGGGACCTGTGCTGGAAACCACTGAGTTTTCACTGCAAAACCCAAATGAGCATTGTGAAAACCCAAAAAATACTTGTAAAGCACATCGAGACATAGCAAGAGCGAGATCTCCTGACTCCAAAGGAACAGGGGGACACAGAAAACTAGAAATCTTAGCAAAGAAAGAAGAGCAGCTCCTACCGAATGAGTCCTTCCGGAAATGGTAGAAGTGACAAGCCTGACAGTGAAATTTATTGATTTATGGCTGGGTGGGAGTGGCTGGTAGAGGGAGGTGCAGCCACTGTCAACACTGCTGTGGGACAACAGGGCAGACCAGGCCACTCCCTGACCCCAGCGGATAAAGGGCTGGTTGCTCTTCTTGCCAGGAAGAAAGTGTCACAGGTTGGACCCAGGATGCGATTTCTAGAAAACCAAACTTCCCAGGCTGGCTCAGGTCAACGACTCACGTTTATCTTACTGCCACAGTCCTAAGCCGAGCAGAGAGGCCACTGCTGCTTCCTGGGGCGCTGACCACAGTTTTGTTTATTAAACAGGTGACATGACCTGCGTGTCAGGGCCCTGCCCAGCATGGCTCCTGTGGTTTCCCAAGGTGGCCATATGGCAGGCTTTTCCTCTTTGTTTTTTTTTTTGTTTTTTTTTTT